CATATCACGTATTAACAAACCCTTCAAAATTCCAGCAATGAAAGCAGATGTATTAATTAAACATTTAATGTCTTTTATAGCTAAAGTACTCATTTTGACAGATCTAATATTATGATATAATAGTAGTATATTAATTTGTTATATACCTTGGGCTCCTTGGTACATTTTATATAGGCACAAGATTAACAGTATGAACTTGTTATTATTGTGTAGTTTTGTAAAAATGAAATGTAATTAGTTTCTAGTTTTATGTCAAAAAGTCATCATTGGTATGGCACAGCTTAGCATACAATGTAACTAAATAATGTATGCCATCTTTCCATTAATTTTGTTAGAAATAAATCCTCTTTTTATATTCCTGCTTTTCCAGTGCATGCACACCCATGTATACACAAAGTGTGAAGCCAGTATTTAATAGAGATTAAATAAACTAGAATCTCCACCTGTGATTGACTCCTTTCTCGTATTGTTTCAGAAAAGTGAAAATTACAGCGAGATTACTATCTCTGGGAAATCTAAGCATGCAATAGTGTCGGCAGTTTTTTACCGTAAACATCTGTGTTCCCTGGATTTGGGACCCTCTATGCCAACACCAAATGGGGAAAATAACCACAGTTGTTAAGGCACTTAAGACACCATAATTGCTGTCCACATCAGCTGTCCCAGAAAGCTTCAAGTTCTCCACTCTATTTCTTAAGCACCTGGAAGGAACAATAGAAGAAAGAATATAGGTATCTGATAGTAGCACGTGACCTGTTACTAAGAAAGGTCTGGGGAGTCTTACCTTCAGAGACCTTGGTGTTCATGCCTACACTCATGCAGTCATTCCAGCCATACTAGAAATATCAAATGATACTCTAACAGCCTTCAGAAAATTCTCTTTGTTCTTTCTTTCTTTCCTTTTTTTTGAGTTGGAGTCTCACTCTGTAGCCAGGCTGGAGTGCAGTGGTGCAATCTCGGCTCACTGCAACCTCCACCTCCCAGGTTTAAGTGATTCTCCCACCTCAGCCTCCCAAGTAGCTGGGACTGCAGGTGCGTACCACCACGCCTGGCTAATGCTTTGCTTTTTTTTTTTTTTTTTCAGTAGAGGCGAGGTTTCACAGTGTTAGCCAGTATGGTCTTGATCTTCTGACCTTGTGATCCACCCACCTCAGCCTTCCAAAGTGCTGGGATTACAGGTTTCGGCCACCGCGTCCAGCCTCTCTGTTTTCTCGTTCACACTTTTAGGAAGACAGTAAATGGTTGAGTGATTTCATAACCTTTATATTTGCTTAAAGATCAGGGTGGAAAGGATTTAGGGAGCTTCAACTTTGCTGTCACCATAGGGACTTGAAGTTGCGTATTTTCAGTGAAATGAAATTGATGCCTTGAACCCAGAAACTTGATCCTCTTGTTTAAGATCATTGGATACTACATTTTCTGAAAGCAAATTGGTTTCAAATAAAGATTTGTTTCAAGTTTAGTGCATTTGTCAGAAAAATGTCATTTGCAGTTAATGATACTATAGCTATTCATTGAGTTGATCCATAAAAGTAGCTGAGATTTACAGAAATATTTTTGACTTTATGCTTCCTAAATGGGAGTTTACATTCTGTCAGTTGATATAGAAATGTTTTGAGAGATGTTTCACATCTCTCAAAGATGAAAAAGAAGAGATGAAGATACTAGTTTAAAGTTGAAATAGGAAACTAATATATTAATGTGCTAGGGCCACCGTAACAAAATACCACAGACTGGGTGGTTTAAACAACAGAAATTCATTGTCTCACATTTCTGGAGGGGTGAAAGTCCAAGATCAAGATGCAGGCAGGGTTGGTTTCTTCTGAGGTGTCTCTGCTTTGCTTGCAGAGGGCCATCTTCTTCCTTTGTCTTTATATGGTGTTTCCTTAGTGTGTCTACTTATGTGTCCAAATTTTCTCTTATAAATATACCAGATTGAGTTAAGACCCACCCCAATATCTCATTTTAATGCCGTTACTTTTTTAAAGGCCTTATCTCCAAATAGAGTCACATTCTGAGGTACTTGGGGTTAGGTCTTAAACATGCAAATTTTAGAGGGACACATTTCAACCCATAATAATATAATATTTGAAATTTGTTCAGCTGTTGTTTAAATATGAGAGGACTTCAAAAAGTTAATGGAAAATGGAATTAAAAGATAAAAAATACAAACTTTCCCAATATAAGCTGCATCAAGTTCAAGACACTTTTGTAAGCCATGATACTGGCTATTAGTTCATCCCTAAAAGACTGAGCGTCCTGGGAATGTACCTATGTTATTATAGTCTTTTTTACATTATTACCTGAAGAAACACTGGTGCTCTTTAAAAGCTTTCTTAAGTTTAGGGGAAAAAATAAGTCAGAAGGAGCCACACCAGGACTGTAACGTGGATGCCTAATGATGTTGCATCAAAGCTCTCATGCACTGACACAGATGAATGTCGAAGTAATCTTGCCAAGTGAAAGAAACCAAAGAGTACATACTATGTGATCCATTTGCATAAAACTCGTAAAAATACAAGCCCGTCAGTCATGGCATGTCAGTCATGGCCTGCAGGGGATGGGGAGGAGGATGGAATTACACAGGGCAGGGGTACAGGAAGGAAGACATTTGAAGTGGTAGATGTTTTCACCATCTTGATTTTGGTGACAGTTTCATGGATATAAACATGTCAAAATGTATCAATTGCCTTTTTTTTTTTTTTTTGGAGAGGGTTTTACTCTTTCGCCCAGGCTGGATTGGAGGGCAGTGGCGTAATCTTGGCTCACTGCATCCTCTGCCTTCTGGGCTGAAGTGATCCTCCCACCTCAGCCTCCCAAGTAGCTGGGACTACAGGCGCACAGTGCCACACCCAGCCCAAATTGTATATTCTTAATGTGTGCAGTTTAGTGTATGTTAATTATGCATCAATAAACTTTTTTTTTTTTAAGTCCTTGCCCTCTTGGAACTTAAATTTTGTTAGTGATGACGTGTAATGACAGTAATAAATATATGTGTGTATGTATGCATGTCTGTGTATCAGATGTCACAAAGTCCTGAAGAAAAAGCAGTGTGAAGATAGAAAGTGATGGGGAGGATAGCTGTTTAATATAAGAAAGCGGTCAGGAAAGTCCTCGGTACACATGACATTTGAAACAGACTATTTAAGCTCCGCTGTAATCTTTTGAGAACTGTGTTAAGGTAGGTTTCAGTTTGTCAAAGTTACAGGTGATCATTCTTTCATCTAAAAGGACAAGTTTCCCCTAACTTGAAGGCAAATTTAAATTTTTGACATCACAAAGAACCAGATGAAAAGGTGGGGCAGAAGTAAGTAAAACCTACTCCTAGTGCCCAAGAGAAGCCCATTCCAGCCACAGGAATTTCTTGTGGTTAACTTGATTGGAAGAATAAAGACCTACTTTGTGAACATCTGTAGAAAAGTGAATCAGAAAAACTCAACCAGAATTCCAGTCTTTGAGTTTCCTGCCAAACAGGGGCAATTAGCCCCTTGTTTTCTTGAAGACAACAAAAGCAACAGCAAAGCCAACACTGCTCCAGCCGATGTCACCTCTGGTGTTCCCTGTGCGTGTGGTGCTGGTGAAGAGAACGCGCTTCTCCTGAGAAGCGGAGGGGAGGGCTTCTAGCGGTGGCGTGACCTGCTTGCTTGTGTCCAGGGATCCTAGCAGAGCAGCTAGAAAGAAACATGGGATGGCACCATGGCAGAGGAGCTTGTTTCAGGTCAGGGGTTAGTAGCTATTACCAGCTGATCAGTGGAACGTAGGGTTGGTTCATCCCCAAAAGGTTGCTTGCTAATCGTGAAGACATTAGAATAGCTGTGTACTGGGGCCACACAGAATTCTAAAGAGAAGAGAGATTTGTAGCATGTACCATAAACTGAAATGTGGTCCCTTATTTTGAAAACCTGCTTTTAACTCTAGTCATCCCCCGATTCTTAAAAATATAGTTCTGCCTAGAGACTAACTTAAAGATTTTGCCTTATTATTTAACATAAATTTGGTGACAGAGAGAGTGGGAAAATGCACTGATCTGAAGCCAATTGTGTATTTCTGTTTCCGTAAAATTTTTATAAAACGTGCTGATTTTTGTCATTCTGTTTGCCATTTTCTTATCCCCGTGAGAATCGTATTCTGAAGCAGCATCCCCTGTTCTGAATGATACTTTGCAGAGCATGTTCTCTGACTCTGTGCTCCGGGATTGAACTTTCTGGGCTAGAAGGAAACCTGTGGGTTCCACCTACCCCTCAAGGCTGGAACCCCGAGAAGCAGGAGCCCCGTGTTAGCTCCTTTTCCCTCCCAACCAGTGGAGGTTCACGGGGCTCAGGCATCCAAAACCTTCAGTAGCCCAAGGCTTTCCTTCCGCCCCCATGCCTGATTCCCGCCCTGTCAGTCCCAGAGGAGCTACTCTTAATCTCTTTTGGGTTGTGGTTCCCTTTGAGGATCTGATGAAAGCTATGGGCACAATTTTGCGTGGAACTTCAGAGGCCACCAAGAATCCCTTTTCCAGAGCAGGGTAGGCATTGATGCTCATCTCATATCAGCATATTCTTTGCAAAGTACAAAGTTAAGAGTTCTTTACAGAGGGCAGAGGCAGCACTCTTATCTGTAAGCTGCTGATAACTGTATTTTTAAGTTGTGTTTTTATTAATAGCCTCTTCAGCTAGCACTAGAAAGAGGTTGCATCATGTCACAGTGGTCTGCATTGATACGGTTTTGTGTGTGTTTGTTATTGGGAATAAAGAACTAGGACAGGTTTTTCAGTATCCCTCTCCTTCCCTGCTCTGTGGTTCTCCTGATCCGTTAGATTTTATACAGAACCACCAGTTACCCACCGTTTTGTTTAGACTGTTGACTGGGAAGCCAAATACCATGTCCACCTTACACTGCGACTCATCACTGTAAACCTTTGTCCTGTTCATTTGATTACGTGCTCTCTACTTTTTTCCTAGAAAGGAATTTTCCTGAATTGAAATCAGTTAATAAAACTTTCTTTCTTTTTGCAGCTTGTACCTCCTTTTAAACCTCAAGTAACATCTGAGACAGATACTAGATATTTTGATGAGGAATTTACAGCTCAGACTATTACAATAACACCACCTGAAAAATGTAAGTAAATTTAGAAGGCAGTTGATAAATTTCTAATGTAATTTCTTCTAATGTGATTGAAGAAAACAGTCTTTTAAAAAATCATCCGATATTTTCAAGATCAAATTCCACAGTGACCTCCATTCCATTTAAGAATACTGAATATTGAATTGAATTTAAGAATATTGAGTTTCCAGTGTAAATGCCAAAAGACGGGTTTTCTGGATAGGGCAAATTATAGAGAGAGAAATTGTAGATGCATTTACAGACCAGACCTCCCATACTGTTCTCCAGTAGATTCTTTTGACACCAACTGAAAGGATTGTGAAATAGAGACTCCCCTCTTTTCCTAGACTGTTAATTCACACATCGCCTTCAGGATTTTGCCGGTTCTGGCCTCCTACTTACTTAATAGTTTTAAGATTCACTTTAAATTGAGTCATTCCTTTTTACTTAGCTGTCTCTTAAATAGTAATATCTGTGAAGACATAATTTAGTTTGCTAGTACTTTTGGATACATATAAATTACATAAGAAAACTGTGTGTTCATATACTACCTTAAGTCACCTTATATACATTATTATGTCTCACCTTTGAGAAATACCATAAATAATGGGACCTGTAATGAAGGAAAAGGTTATCAGACGTAATTTATAAACATTTTCATGCTGACAAAGGTCTGTATCTAATAGCAACTTAGGAATGAGGATAAGTTGAGTTTCGGGTCAGTCTTTGGGTATTCGTCACACATCTTTTGGTTCACATAATAGCATCATGTTAATTTTTCTCTCCTTTTCCATTCCTTTCCTGTATTTCTCCTCCTCTCCTTCCTTTCTAAGAGGCAGATTCATCAGTAGTGCTGATGTGGACTCAGCGTCCGGGAGAGGGAAGATTGGAGGGAAATGCTGTGCCGAATATGATCACTGGCAACAGATTTTAGTGTTAAAAGGCAAACAAGGAGTCATCTAAGCCAAGAGGTCTTACCGGGCAGCAGGGGGACCGTGAACGCCCTGAAAGTAAAGATACGATTATGGATGTGTGCTTTTCTTTCTTTAGAGTCACAGGAAGTTAAGGTGCTCAGGGTCCTATAGTTGCGGTCAGCCATAGCCAGGAGCAGGGTTACCAACTTGGCTGATGTCTAGGCTAAGTTGTGAAATACTAGTACGTTGAAGTGAGCCACTCACGGTCTGTCCTGTGACGAGGCAGAGTTTCCACCCCGTCTTGTGCCATTGCTAGAATTTTAGTATCACTAAGAGTCACCGACAGTGTTGGGAAGCCTGTGGAGTCATGGGCAAGTAGCCCAGGGCTTTCTGAGTAGAAATAATGGGCATAGGCCCTTAGCTTCTGTCCCCGGCATGGACTGTGGCATTATAATTTTCCACAATGCTGGGTAACACCAGTGAATTGCTGGATTGGCCCATTGGCAGTTCCTGCCGTAGAGCCTTTGCTAGGCCCTTTCATTTGGATATAATCCTGATTGTAAGCAGGCCACATCATTCCTCTGCTTAAAGCCTTCCAGTGCCATCCCATTGTACTCTAAATCCAAAGTTGCTCACATTGGTTTGCACAGCACTGACTGATCTGGGCCCTGTCAACCTCTCTGACCCTTTTGTGTTCCATCTTCCCCCACTGCGCCTGGGTTCCAGCCATACCTTAAACATGCCACATGTTACCATGCCACAGGATCTGGGTGTCCCTGCCTAGAATGCCCTTCTTCCCTGAACCTACATGGATGACTCCTTCTTGTTCTTCAGCTTGCATGTCATTCCATCAGAGAACCTTCTTTGACCTGGTCTGAAGAACATCAGTCTGACAACCCTCCCTCCCACTCTTCATTCACTGCATTGGCACCTTTACTTGCTGGTATTTTTCTGGTTAATTTATTTGTTTAGTGTCTCTCTCCGCCATTAACACGCAGTGGCTCAGAGAGGAAGGATCTAGTTTGTCTTGTTAGCCCAAGCTCCTAGTTAGATGCCTGGCACAGTATGTGTATTAATAATACTTGCTAGGTACATGAATACACAGAATATGGTGAATGCCTAGGAACCTCAGAGCTGGGAGTAGACCCAGGCTTGCCTTCCCTCTGAATATCCAAAGCAGACCCTGGGATAGGAAGGCCTGACACGTCTCTGTCCTCAGTCTCAGCCACTTTGAGAAAGTTTCCGTTCTTAAATAGAGCATTTGGCATTTGTGTATCTTTAGAGCAAATAAATATGTTATTTTGGAAGTCATAGAAATAGGCTCTAAAATGTGGAGCCATGAGTAGATATTTTACTTCAGAAAGCTCAAAGTGAAATCCCAATTTGGGACACAGAATGAGGTTGAAAAAGCCCAGGACTCAGACCTGGGGAACCTGCCTTGTGTCAGGCTCTACCCACTGCAGCTCTGGGAGATGGCAGGTCACTTTGTCCTCTGAAAAGCGGGGAGCAGGGCTGATAACCTCTCGGTGGCCTGTTTTTGTCCTCCCATATGCCTGAGAAGCCATCTCTTTGGGATGAGCACTGAGAGTTCTGCAAATCTGAATCACCTTATTTTCATTTCTGCTCAAGCACCAGTCCATGGTGTTACTGTGTGCTGTGGTCCACTCCAATTAGGGGATGATCGACCCGACGCAGCGACCACCTGGCTGCAGGCGGTGTGCGTGAGGGCCAGCAGGCACCTGCCCCTGAAATGCGGTGCTCAGAAGTGTGAGCCTAGAAAGACCAGAGCAAAACAAAACTGAATTGGTTACAGATAAGGTAAATTAGAAGCTGTTGTGTATGCCTCTTAGCTAGTCAGTTATTTTTTCATGATTGACTTGAATTTTAAACCCCTAGCTTTCAAGGACCAGAATCTCTTCAAAATTCATCTTACCTGCCTTATTTCTTACTCCACACCCACAGGGCACTAGTCCTGATGAGAATTTGTCATCAGTATGCATTTTACTGCTCAATTTCTAGGACTTCTAAAATGAGACTGAAATGTTAGAAGGTGTTTTACGTCCCCCAGCACAATTTCTAGAACATAATTTGAACCTAGTTGCTTGGTTTCATTATCAGCAGTATAAAAGCCATCAAGAATGGTTTTCCTGGCATGTCATATTTTGCCACTAACAGCAACTCTGGTCTTAAATAACATAGGTCGTTTCAGACATTGTTCATGCTGTAAAAACCCTACAACCTGAGTGTCTTTAAATGATAATAGGTTCACTTCTAGACTGAGACAGAGATGCCCAGGAAGCCTGCATGTCGTAGTAACTTCCGAGATGGTTAGCAGAGCCCACCTGCAGTTGTTGCCCAGGAAAGGCTGGATTTTGCCCAGGTATGGTGGTGCACACCTGTAATCCCAGCACTTTGGGAGGCCAAGCTGGGGGGATCACTTGAGGTCAGGAGGAATCTGAGACCAGCCTGACCAATATGGTGAAACCCTATCTCTACAAAAAATGGAAAAATTAGCCAGGCGTGGTAGTGCATGTCTGTAATTCCAGCTACTCAGGAGGCTGACGCTGGAGAATTGCTTGAACCCAGGAGGTGGAAGCTGCAGTGAGCTGAGATCACACCACTGTATTCCAGCCTGGGCAACAGAGTGAGACTCTGTCTTAAAAAAAAAAAAAAAAAAAAAAAATCTGGCTTTTGTGGGTGTCAGAAATGGGGTGTGGTCCTGCCCTGCTCCTGGGCCCTGGGTGGTATGGAAATGAGAGCCCAGGAGTGTCATCTGGGCACACCACAGTTGGGGAGGGGAGGACACTGTGGACTTCCTGTGTTTTTTCCTATTCAGGACGTCTCTAGAAAGGAAAGTCAGATGAAAGAGCACAGCAGAGTGTGCCCAGGCAAAGACCAGCATGGACGCATCTGCAGGCATCTCTGTTCAGCAGCCTCTCTTGCTGTCTGTGTAGCTCAGCTCAGCACAGCACAGCGCTCAGCATTGGAGACCACCTGGCCCTGGGCTTCCTGTCTTAGGGGAATAGCCTTGATGGTTGTTAACTGCAGCTTCTGGGTTCTTCTAGGGCAAAGGGGCAGTATTTTTAGTTTGCCAGTTCTGGATACATTCTAAATTCCCTTACAGGGCAGATAAAAGGAGAATCAGGGAAACTTTGAGCTGTGATTACATTTAACATCACCTTTTTCTTGCAGCTTTAAAGAGTTTAACTGGTGAGAAACCATTGCAGCTCCCTAAAGGCTAACACACAGAGGTTTTCTTGATAAAAGTCCAGAGCAGTACCATTCGTTAGCGATTGTCTTCCCACTTGCCACCTTGCTTGTATAAAACAGGATACAGTTACTGTTTAGAACAAACCATCAGTTAGAAAGGCAAAATGTTCCATTTTCTACAAACAGCTGCAGTAACATGCCAGATTGTCCTCACTGGTGTTAATTAATTGAACAGATTTTGGAATGTGTCATCTTTCGTTATAGCCATTCATGGTCCTCTGCCTTCCTCTTACAGAAAAAGAGGGTTTCTTTGAGATCTGGTCGCTTTTACTGCAATATAATGACATTTGTTAAATGTTCTAAGAAAATCAAGCAACTGATGTTCCTTGGATCCAGGAATACAAGAGATGTAGCATGTAGAGCTGATCACTGTCTTCTTTTTCCAGATACGTGTTTTTGGGCAACAGTTCATGTGCATTATCATCACTGTTCCCTATGGACAGTCTATCATGGCAGGAACTAGCTTGTATGGGTTGACAGGCTCCGACTCAGTCAGCTGCCCTTCCTCCGACCCCTCCTACCGCAGCCCCTGCCCAGGCTCTCAGCTCTTGCTGGGCCACGATCAGATGTTCATGCCTCGCTGTTACCAAGCCTGACAACAGAAGGGGGCTGGAATGATGGAGTGAGATCATCAGCTTTAAAGAATATCAAGGATTGGGGTCCTCAGGGTTATCTGTGAAATTTCCTATATTCAGAATTGTGATGAATGTGTTGCTGAAGTGACAGAGTGAATGCTCTCTCTTAATTCTTAGCTGACACCCAGCAAGAGTCCCTCCTCCTCCAAAAGAGTGTCTAGCACCTGCCCCTGTTGACTGTGTGGCTAACCTGGGTGCTGAACCTCGCCAGGCTGGAGTGAGTCCTGCTGTGCAGAAACACTCAGCAAAATAAGGCCATTGGTGAGGAAAATTGTTTATTTGAAATGTGATTGGCACATGTCAGAATCTGAACATGAAAGTTTTAGCTGCCTGTATCCTCTAGAGAGTTTTTATACTGTGTGGCTCAGCTGCAGATATGCCATCATTCCCAGCTCCTTCTGTTTTTACTGTAGCTAAAAATACTGCTGAAGGTATTTGATCTAAAAGATGTATGTGGCTTGCTTGGTATAAATACTGGAACCAATAACTTTATAAGGGGATGGAGATTTCCCCAAACCTCAATAACTTCTAGAAATGCTGACTGCGATTACAGTGGTCTGTTTGCAGAAGGAGAGAGGGCGTCTGAGTTCAGTGTGTTACACAGAGCAGGGAGCCACAAATACTTCTTCATGGGTCAGTTCTCACCTAATTACAAGGATATCTGCTGGCACATTAGAAGTCATATTTTGGCTAATGCCAGCTTGATCCCATTCTTAGAATCTTCTGCATTAAGAATGGGATACAGAAAAAAAAAAAAAAACAGACAAAAACAGAAGGGTTTATTCTTCAGATGAAGGCAAAGCATCCTCCTGTTTGGGGTGACAGGGTCAGAGCCTCAGTGCAGTGGGGTCTGGACTGTAGGTTTTCTTTGCTTATATCCATGTCCAGTTAATGCTCCCTGGAGAGCTTAGAAAGGCAGAAAATTTGGTAATGTACTTCCTGTGTGGGTTTGAGGAAATTGAATTATTTTGCCTGAAGAGAGAAAGGTTGAATATTTGAAAGATTCACTTATTTCCATTGCAGGACACCATATGATGAAACAAGGTTAGAGTAGAGCAGGGGATTTAAAATGGAGCCTCCCCAGGAGCCCGTGAGTGCAGGGGCCTTGGGGAACCTTGTTGAGTTGTATCTGTTCATGGACTGGGCAGGTGCTCAGCCCAGAGCAGATGCCTGGGAGCGCTTGTTGACTGAGTGGCTGACCATGCAGCCACATAGAAGAGTCTCCCGACAGTACAGGACTGTCATCATAAGACATTTATGAGAAGAGGGTGCTGATCATCTGTGATCTTTGAAATACAGGAAAGCAGGAAAGCTGAGAGGAGGAACACTGACATTGTAAGCAGCCTGTTTTGATGCCTTTCAAGTCTCTATTCCCTGTTGTTTGCTGATGAGCTAGGACTCAGATACTGACATCATTCCCTCTTGTTCTTTCACTTGGTCCCTTCACTGTGAAGTTTTATTACAGGGAAATTGGGAAAGGTAAGTTAAGCCTGATGCTAGATGTTGAATAAAATTTTGTAGGAAGCTTTGTTTTGCAGTTTCACTGAAAGTATCACAAAGGAAAAAAATAACAAGCATTTGAAGACATTTGATGATGGATTCTGTACAGACATTGGATGCTGTAGATTTAACCGACTTTTGCAATTTTGATATATGTGGTTACGTGACATGAAAGGTTACTGAAGACTGCTCCGTCTTTAAAATTTCTGTTTTCTTTAATACCTTTTTTTTCACTGTTTCATTGAGTCCTGAAATTTTGATGTCTTAGAGGTAATTCTATAGTGTTATTTCTTCGTAGACTATGAAAATCAGATGACTTTTGAAGCATAATTACTGTATAGCTTATTGATAAACACAGGTTTATGGGAGCTATTGCCTGTATTCATCTTTCCTATGTTCAGAGTTTAAAAAAATAGATCAGAGATAATGTTGCAAAAGCAAATGTAAAATTAAAATAGATGTTTCCTGCCCACAGATGATGAGGATGGTATGGACTGCATGGACAATGAGAGGCGGCCGCATTTCCCTCAATTTTCCTACTCTGCAAGTGGACGAGAATAAGTCTCTTTCATTCTGCTACTTCACTGTCATCTTAGATTTATTACTGAAAATGATTCCTGGACATCACCAGTCCTAGCTCTTACAGATAGCAGGGGCACCTTCCGACATCCCAGACCAGCCAAGGGTCTTCACCCCTCGCCACCTTTCACCCTCATGAAAACATACATATGCGCAAACACACTCCAATTTTTGTTTTTGCATGAAATTGTATCTCAGTCTAAGGTCTCATGCTGTTGCTGCTACTGTCTTACTATTAGAGCAACTTTAAGAAGTAATTTTACAACCTTTGGAAGTCATGAGCCCACCATTGTTCATTTGTGCACCAATTGTCATCTTTTGATCTTTTAGTTTTTCCCTCAGTGAAGGCTAAATGAGATACACTGATTCTAGGTACATTTTTTAACTTTCTAGAACATAAAAAACTAACTAGACTAAGAAGATTTTAGTTTATAAATTCAGAACAAGCAATTGTTGAAGGGTGGTGACGTGCATATGTAAAGCACATCAGATCCATGTGTGAAGTAGGCATATATTACTAAGCTGTGGCTGGAATTTATTAGGAAGCATTTGAGAGAAGGACTGAACAACTGTTGGAATAAATATATATATATATATATATATATATATATATATATATATATATGTGTGTGTGTGTGTATATATATATATATATATATATATTTTTTTTTTTTTAAATTCCTGGTGGATACTGTAGAAGAAGCCCATATCACACGTGGATGTTGAGACTTCATGGGCAATCATGAGCAAGTGAACATTGTTCTACCAAGAAATGAAGGCATATGCACAGTCAAGGTCACTTAAAGGGTCTTATGATACAATTTGCGCCAGAGAGCATTTTCCCCCTGTGCTTGGAAACCTTTTTTCCTTCTTGACATTTATCACCTCTGATGGCTGAAGAATGTAGACAGGTATAATCATACTGCTTTTCACCAAAATTTGTACACCAAGGTAAACAGGTGTTTGCCTTATTTAATTTTTTTACTTTCAGTTCTACGTGAATTAGCTTTTTCTCAAATGTCAAAACTTTGAATGTCCTTTTATGATTTTGTTTATATTGCAGTAGTATTTATTTTTTAGTGATGAGAATTATATGTCATGTTAGCAAATGCAGCTCCAACTTACATAAAATAGACTTACTGCAGTTTCTCTTGACCCATGTGCAAGGATTGAATGCGCTGATGAGAATCACGCACTTTTTCTCCTATGTTAAAAAAAAAAAAATGATAAGGCTCTGAAATGGAATCTATTGGTTAGAATTTGGCTTTGGGAGAAGAGATGCTGTCATTTAACCCCTCGGTACGGAAAATGAGAAAATCCCCAACTCTCCATGCCAGGGGGTTAATGAAACAAATAGATGTTGGCGTTTGCTCATCTAAGAACTGAAATGCGATGGAGACCTGGCAGCAAAGAGTAACGAAGAAAACAGACCTGAGTGATAAGAAACCATCTTTACTTGGCAAAATGGACACATCTTGAGTATTTAGGAAGTAGACAGTAAAGGCTAAGAACCTGATGTGTTTATTGTGATCATGGTACATTTATCACTGAAATAGGCCATCAGGGAAAAAAAAAAACCACCTCCAGCTTTTATTTTTCTGTATATACGCATGTCCCCAAATTCCAACATTTCTCACTGAAAGGGGGCATGTATGCAGACCTCATCTTTCTCCTTCATAAATGATGATCTTCAGATTAAACCCTTTGGTGCTAGGAGCTGGCATTTTCCAAAGCAGCCTATGAAGTCCTAGGGGCTGGGGGCCATTCTAGCGGCAAGCGGAAGGCCGTCCCACTCCGTGGAGTGATCATGGAAATGTATTTTAGTCAAACTCTGACAGCTCCCAATGGAAGACTACAGCATGACGTAGTATTATGATTGCATTGTATGAAAGAGCAAGTGACTTTCTAAGTAGAATGACTCATATTCATATGCAGATGTCTTAGCCTCTTTATGCTGGAAGAGCGGATGTATAGCTATGAAGCCACTGCTGGCAGTGGGTGGGCCACTGGGACTGACGGGGTTACAGGGCATTTTACTAAGGCAGCTAAGACATACTCAGACATCGATGTTATCCTTATTTTTCATATTTCTACCTGAGTGAAGTTCATCCTTAGTATTGAGTAGGAAGTTACAGTAAATGGCAGTTCGTTCTTACTTACACACATAGCTACATAGCTAATCTTTTTTTTTTTTCCACTTAGAATTATGTTGAATGTTTCACTTTGACAAAAAAGTAGACTAGAAGGTATGTTCTTTAAGTTGTCTTGCGTTCATGATATAAGAATGAAACAGGTGAGAGGAAGAGAAGCGAGCTGAGCCTGGCTGATGTTCAGAGTACTTCTCTAGAGGGAGGCATGACACCGTACACCAAGCACATAGCTTTTTGTTCTTTTGGTTCCCCCTGCTCCCCGAAGTTGAAGGTGATTTCCATGACCTTGGCCAAGGACACTTGCTAAAGATTAATGACTGGCGCTCCAGTGGCCCAGGCAAGCCACGGCTTACAGTGGCTCTCAGTCCTCAGCCACGCCTGGGCTCAGCCACTTCTGTTCTGCCCTCTGAGACTCCACTGGTGTCACACAAGGTAAGGTTATCTTCTTGGCTTTGATTTTGAGAATCCCCAATTTTCACTTCCAGATCAAACTGTCAGCTGCCATGGAGGAATAAGAGAAAAACAGATTGTGTGTAAAGGGAGATTTCTAAAGCTTCCCTTGTGTCCCCATAGCTGTAGTTTTGGGTTCTGGCAGGTGGAAAACCCTGAAACCTGGAATCATTCTGAGAATACAGTTCAGACTTTGCAGACTCCAGCCCATACTAACTGTCATGAAGCTTGACTTCTTGTCATAGTGCAGCCATCTTGGAGGATATTGGCCATTTCTGCTTGGATTGTTGGCCGGGTCGCGCTCAGCTTTGCTTTCTACACTAATTACATAGCATTATTCAAGTACTGGTTTCCATTCCCATACCCGATTTCCAGCTTCTTAAAGCTGACTGTTCTGGCAGGGGCCACTTGCTTCGTAGAGTACAAAAGTAAGGGCCTTCCTACTAACTGCAGGGTCTCTATATTACACCTCAGCGTACACACTTTGCTGCTACTGTTTGTACTGTCTACAGTAGAATTTCCTTATCTTGCTCCTGGTAGTGCATTACAGGCAAGCATGAAATGTAAAGTATTTATTTAAATAAAAAGAAAACCTCTAAATTGGTAATTGAATTACCTCCCTGTAGCTTTATAGTTTGTGACATTTCTTGACCTTGCTAGTTCTTTCATTAGATCTGCACAAGATCTAGTCATCTGGTTAAGGATTTTAAGCAGATGCAAGTATAAACCCAAGAAACTGTATTACTATTACTGTTGGTCATACTAAAACTGTCTATTTCCTTAAGTATATGACCCACAAGGATGTGAAATAACGAAACTGCTTTTGTACACTGTACATCCTTAGTATTTTTACACGTATATGATAGGGATGAACATTATTTTCCTTCGTACAGACAGCTTAAATAAAGCACTGTGTCAATCTGCTCCTTCTCTGTTTATTGTTGTTGGATGTGGTTCTCTGATCCCAAATTAAATCATCTTTAATGATATTTAACAGCCCCAGCTGGTATTAACCTACCTTGTATAAAATGTGGCAGGAAAATACACCCATTCCTTGTAGCTCAGACACATAGGGGGTCATTTGTACTTCAACGAAATGGCAGCAGTACGGTTGGTTATACAGCCTCTGATGAAGGGCTGCTTCCGAGGGGCGGTGCTGACCGCTCAGCACTGGGTTTAGGACAGATGTCCTGTGAAGCCAGGGATGGAGTAGGTCTCAGACCCCTCATCAGCTGTACCACAGATGGTTTGGACCCAGAATCGTAAGGAATGTAGCTTGTCGTTAACGTCTTCCTGATGATGTACTGCTCTGCATACTTCTTCTTAGAGTGTATTTCTAACATGTCACGGCAAATTAACCAGCGTAGACGTGGGTGATGTAGACGGTAGAATGGACTGCAGTCTGACCTAACGTTGAATCATTCTGGATGGGGCCTTTTTCTGATTTTACCTCATAAAGCTACTATTGTAGAAACTCGGCTTCGCTCCTGTGTCGAAGCCAGACAGAGGAATGGCTTTTGGGACCAGAGTGAGTCAAGCATGTATGTGTGTGTCACACAGCCAAATTTGAGGGCATTCTCACACGTGCTCTTCTCTCAAAACCACTGGGGTTGACAGATCCAGGAGGCTAAAATAAAGTGACCTCTATAATTCTTTAAAGGTGCTATTTTTAGAATATTGTATAATTTATTCACAGTATATCTAAAACAGAATTAAGGACAATTAAAATATCTTATGTGACAGCCTTTATGTCTAGCACATTTGATGAAATAAAAAACTTCTGAATCTGAATAGAAGTTCTGTTTCAGGCTTGAACCTTTTACATGCTCAAGAGATTCGAACGGTCTCTGTGTGTAAATCATGCCACCGCCTCCAAAGCCTAATCCACATCGCTTCTGAGAGGCAAGGCCGAGCCTGTGGTGACATCACCATCAGCTCTGTGTGGAGATGGTGATAAGGATGACGGATTGCTGGCCAGGCAGGGCAGCCGAAGGCCAGGGGCCTGTCCCAACCCAAGCCTTGCCTTGAGTGTTTCACTGTCATAGTAAAATGTAACACAGTATGTTCAGTGTCCATTTTTATTACTTTAAAACATTTGAAGGCTTAACTCTGTATAGTAGAAATACTATTTTAGACTAAAATAATTATCTGTGTACAGATATTTGATATACTCTAAGTAAATTTTCTAATTTCACTAAGTATGTTTTTAGGCTCCTCTCAAATACTGCATATTTGAAGAAAAATATCTGACACCACCGAGCCAAAGATGCTTTTTTTTGTCTGTTTTCGTTGTTTAACAGAATGGAGAGAATAACGCATACTGCTTCCTGGTGTCTCCTGATTGACTGTGCACAAATTAGGACGATAAAATGGAGTCTGATGGGACGTTTGATTAAAGGTGAAGGATGATGATTGATATATAGATCATGAAAAATGGCAAGAAAAAAAGTTTGGTCCTTAATATACTTTGGCCTAGTTAAAATATGTGCCTTTTTGGTGTGTTTTGTTCATCACTACAAGAGAAAAAGGAACCATTACAACTCAAGTCTTTAAAAAGTTCATTTATTGAAAATCATATGTATAACCTAGCATACGAATGAGCAGATTTAAACACATAACTTCAAGCCATTTCTGAAAACATACAGCAGGAGCTCTCCTCACCTAGAGTCAGACTCCAGCTCCAGCCTGGCCGCGTGCGGGGACCAGCCCCACTGCAGGCTGAGACGGTGTCACGCTGGGAAGGTCGTGGTGCGTTGTGGCATATTAAGTCTAAATCAGATGAATGTAAATATCTCTTTGTAAATCATTTATTTCACTCTGTTCCATCCAGGTCAGCAATCAGATTGTGGCATGCTGGGTAACTGGAAAAAATAATAAAAAGTAAGTTTCAATAGATCATGTTCTTCAATGTGATTTGTCTTCTCATTTGCTGATTGATTTAGTCACCTTTTATGATGAAAATTTTTGGAGGAAAAAAAACCTGTTGCTAAAAATGTGGAAATTATATGTAAGAAACTGCATGAAAAGTTTATGCCTCATCTTGCCCACCTCAAAGCTCCTGTCACATAGAAATAAGGTTAACTGGTTTAATGGATTAAATTTGAAAACAAGACTACAGACACTCGTGTGTCTCTTAAATAAAGACAGTCTGGTGTTAGGACGTGGTCAGAGAGCCATCGCTTCTCCTGTCCAGGAAAGGACACATTGATTTGGGCCAGAATCTGTTCACTGAAAATTGATCTGACCTTATTACGGGCAGGTAATTCTAACAAAGACAGTGTAGGCCAAGCGCCCCTGAGAAATTCCTCGTGAAACAACACAAGCTGAAACACCTCCAAATTTGTAACTGCAAACAATGTAGTTAATACCTGTTTTCACAGGGAAACCTCCCACGTGTTGGAAGAGGGGACTGGGTGTACTGAGGGTCTCTTAGTTTTACACGGATAGTAATGTTCCAGAGCCGCTTCATGCAGATGGGGTTGGGTTGGGGAGTCACAGTCAGGAAGGTGCTGAATACTGGCCTGGCCTCTGCTGCCATGGCTGCTCAAGTCAGCTGGAAACCACAGCAGGAACTAGGGTCGGAAAGCACTGGAAATGGTTCCATTCCACAAAACAGGTCTTGAGTTTGTCCTGTGCACAGTGGGGAGGTGCCTGGGCAGCAGCCCTCGCCCTCTAGAGCAGGCGTCCCCAAACTTTTTACACAGGGGGCCAGTTCACTGTCCCTCAGACCGTTGGAGGGCCGCCACATACTGTGCTCCTCTCACTGACCACCAGTGAAAAGAGGTGCCCCTTCCTGAAGTGCGGCGGGGGGCCGGATAAATGGCCTCAGGCCCGCGGGCCGTAGTTTGGGGACGCCTGCTCTAGAGTATTAAGTCCAGAGAAAAGCCAAGGTGGTATTTTCCAAAGCCCGGTTTTCACTCCAGATCAGTCGGAGCAGACTGCAGGGCCAGGGGCCCAATCTGGCCCTTCGCAGCGAGGAACCATCTCCCAAAAGAGAAGTGCCCCTGCCACTCCCCCGCGAGGATTTTCCAAGCTAGACTCCAAGGGAGGATTCTGGTCCACCTAATTTAAGCCGCCATTACTTGGGGATTTCCAAGACAGGACAATGAGTGAAGCCGAATCAGAATTCATTCAAGAGAATTATATGAAAATCAGTGTGTTGCCTTTTTTAAAAAATGAAAAAAGGTCATGTTTACATTTCAAGTAGATTTCCCAGTGTGTGAGACCCTGAGGACAACCTTTTCATGAAAGGTCTGTGAGCAGCAGGATGGTTTCAACAGTATAGCCAGAGTAGGTGTGCAGCCTGGCCTCAGGCTGAATGCAGGTGGGGCTCTGCCATCACATGAGTGGAGCCCGCCCTGCCAGGCTTGTGGAGCCAGGTGGACAATTTCCTGGGCCCCCAGGGTGTTTCTGTTCTCTGGGCCCTTTCTGAGGGGCCCATGGGGAGTCCACCCCATGCCCTATTCCCCAGAGCCCTGCCATTGCAGAGGGGACTTCTTCTGTCCTCGGTGGGTTACTCACAGCACAGAGACTGCCACCAACATAATCCGATTGTCACACACACAGTTTGCACCGAGCTGACCTGCCTTCTAGGCAGCTGTTGGAACTGACCCAGCACAGTTCTGCTGAATGACTGGTTTGAATGACCCTCTACCCCAGCTCCATGGATTGGTCACATCAGGCCGGTGGCCTCACTCTTGAGACAGTGGCTTTCTAACTTTAGAAACTGTAGGATGACTCTGAATACAAGAATAAGCATAAATTACAACAGATAAAAAGAAAAATAACCTGACTCGCAGCTGGGCACAGTGGCTCATACCTGTAATCCCAGCGCTTTGGGAGGCTGAGGCAATAGGATCGCTTGAGTCCAGGAGTTTGAGACCAGCCTGGGAAACAGGAAGACCTCATCTCTACAAAAAAGTTTTAAAAATTAGCCAAGTTTGGTGGTGTACACCTGCAGTCCTAGCTACTCAAAAGGCTGATGCAGGAGGATGGATTGCTGGAGCCCAGAATTCCAGGCTGCAGTGAGTTATGGTCGAGCCACTGCACTGCAGCCTGGGTGACACAGCATGACTGTCTCAAAAAAATGAATGAAAAAATTGAACTCTGGGTAGAAAACACACCCACATACACAACATACATAGGCGTAAAGACCTGACGTAAAAGGTGGTGTGGAAATTTTGATAAGCTCCAGGAAAACAGGGATTTCTCATGAGTCTATGTAATGGTTGTGGGCGTCCAGGGCCCCTAATAATTTGTCATCAGTGCGGCTGTTCCCTGCTGGCACTCATGACTCTGCTGAAAACGGGCAACCTCCTAATTCCATGGGCCTGCACAGGAGTGACAGCTGTGCGGGCCTCACCAGGAACCAACAGAAGTCAGCCTGGTCTCCCTCGTGCGGCTGATCGGCTCCGGCTGTCTGCATGGGCTTTGCGTTTCATGTTCAGGTGAGAAGCGCCATTTCCATCCCCACTTCCACACTGTCGTACTGTTCACTGCTCAGCCCCGTGCTTACAGCCGTGCCTGACCCGTGGTGAGCATTCAGCCAGCATTTGAGGGATGGAGAATGTATCGTATGAGGTCACCATTTTGGCACCTCCGTTTGCTGCCTCTTGGCTAACACCCCATCCTCAGTGCTTCCCCTCTCTGACCCTACAGCGTGTCCCAAACATAGAAACCTTAGTCGCTGCCCACGTCTGGCATGTCTGCCATCACTTCTTAGGGATATGAGTGATGCTCATTTCCAGAAAGTCCTGTCATCCACACCACAGTGGCCACGGTCTGTGGTCCAGGAGAGAAGGGCATGGGCGTGCCAGTGGGACACGAACCCTCAGCCAGCGTTTCCATTCTGCCTTTCCATTTGCCATCACGGCCCTTGCCGTGGCCCTCCTGGGGGTGTGGCTGTCCTGCAGCTTAGAGGGGCCGACAGGGCGCCCTGGCCACTGCTCCCCTGCCGTGTTGTGTGCAGGTGGCGGAAACGCGCCCCCATCTGCAGGCACACAGCTGCTGACCATCTTTGTTCTCATTTTAAATCCTGTTGGGCGCCTTGTCTCCACAGACCCTGCCTCATTTATTTCTTAAGTTTGACTGTTAAGTTCTGAGGGTAGGAAATGAGTTGCTCTGGGTGACCTGAGCTGTTCCCCAGGCAACCACGCTATGGGGTCCAGCCAGCCTTTTTTGCTGCCTTGTTCCCAAGCCAGTCAGAAAGCTCGGCAGCGGCAGCCTGGGGAGATGGTGGCAGCCCTCGCCCTGCTTGAGGGAGACCTGCCTGGGCTTTCTACGCATTCTCTGTGGGTAGCTCTACCCAACCCTTCTAAAGGTAAATCCTCTTCCTCCCTGCCATCCGTTCCACTCACTGGCACGCTGTCTCTGTTTGGCCAAGTCAAAAAAATGGTCCTATTCCTTGTGCATCTGGCAATAAAGCATCTATTTGTAACTGGAGCGGGCAGACCCCTCCCCCTGCCTCCATCTCAGGCATTTCAAAGCTGGCCCTGGGTTGACAGAGCTTCAGGGCAGTCCCTGCCTCACATGGTGGCTCGCCTCCCGCCTCCACCTGTGTTCTGGGTGCCAGGGCTAGGGCTGGGCAGCTGTTGCAGCCAGGCCTGGCTCCGCCCTTGCCCACTTGGGTACCTGCCCCCATCCTCACATCCTGTGGCCTGAGAAGAAGTTCGTTTCCCTGCCCAGCCACTTCCCAATTCCATTCACTTCATTTCTCTGGGCCTTATTTTTCTATCTGTACAAAATGGTTATTTATCCCAAATGGCCCTTTCAAGCCCACAATGATCTCAGCACTAATCCTGCTGGTTTCATAATCATCTGTGCTGGGCGCTGGGTTCCTTTTAAAGGGAAGCTGGCTCTTCTTTTTTCTCTGCCAGAAATCGAGTAGCATGGAAGCTAACACGTCTCTGAAGTGACGCAGAGCTGAGATTCGAACCCAGGCAGTTTGACCTCAAAGTCCAGACTCTCCCACGTGATGCTCTCCTGCTTGTTCTGGCAGATTAGGGATAGCAAGTTTGATATCCATGAAATTAAGCCTCCAAATTGGGACGGCAACCTGGACTAAATAGGCCATGTGAGCTCCGACTGGTGACCGACTCACTGAGGAGCAGTGCCACAAGCATGCCCTGCAGAACTTTGTGGAAGTACGGCCTTCGGGCAGGACTAGAAGGGAGCACTCCTCTCCACAGCCGAGGGCAGTGGGTTACCGTCAGGCCCCTGCAACCCTACTGTCCCCAGCACAAGTGACTCAAGATCTGGCTGAGGAGCCTCATCCTTTCTGGTTCAGGCCTATCTGGGAATCTGGCTTTGCCAGCTGCAAAGCAGGACAAGAGTTCATGGCAAGGTCATGGCAGAGCAGCGGTCATTCTTCCCTCCTGGCTGCCCGGCTGGGCCTCTGACAATGGCAGCCACATGGCCGTCAGAGTTCGGAGCCCTCCTTCCCTTCCACTGCCGGGCTGTGCTTTGTTGCCTCTGGGCTCCGAGAAATGCGCAGGGCCACAGAAACCAGAGAAATGAAAAGGTAGCCACAGAGGAGGCCACCTGGCAGACGTAAAGTGAGATTTGACCTAGGACAGCCTCTCGAGATGGACGTGGGTGAGACGGGGAGGCCCCAGCCCACGGGAGGCCGGGGTGGAGGCCCCGCCCTGCGGTGCCGCCTCTGCTCCCCAGGGCGCACTCAGGCACCAGCGTTCCTTCCCTCCCAACCGTGGGCTCTTAGTTTGTGTTCTTCCAGCTTCCTCAAGCCCTCTAAGTCATGAGAACGTCCTCTGCACATAGGCAGGTCTGTGTTTTATATGAACCATGTTTCCATGGTAAATAGATTTTAAGAATTCCCAAAGGACAGACAGTGTCACCAACAGCA